ATTTCCATTTTTATTAGGCCCGAGCAGTGAAGCGCTGCGAAGTCCTTTTGCATTTATTCTTATTTTTTTGTTACTTTTGTCAATCACAATTGAATTTACTGGCAGCTATTTCTTTTCTGTCTTTAATGGAAGGGTATGTAAACCTTCAAGCACAGCTTTTAAGTTTTTAAGGGTGTCTTTTTAAGAAACGTAACCTATTGTTTGCCAGAAATTTTTGAAAAACAGCTAAAATTTTCAAAAAAATATATAGTTAAACCCTTACAAGGCTTTAAAAGAGTATATTTAAACTATGACACATTATAAGAATTATAATAATTGGATGTAAGAGTTTTGTAAAACTTTTATATTTGTCCTTCTTTACAAACCTCTAAGGTCTGATGGGTGTTCACACTGAACCATGTTGTGCTGCAGGTTTTCTTCTTGTAAAAGGGGAGTTTATTTTTCCATTGTCGCTACATCCATTGACGAAAAGTCGACAATAAATGCAAAAGTTTGTACACTGTTGCTGCGTTATCATCAAGTAGAGGTGAATTCTGAAAGTCATTATAATCGGCCGGGATTCCTTTGAAAATATTTCACCCATTTATATAATAATAGGATGCCAAAAGTACTGTTTGGTACATGGATCAAGTGGGTTTTAGGTCATCTGTCTGTTTCAACCAGGGGTCTTCAAGTTTGAAAATCCTAAGAGCCATTTTACCCCCAGCTCAACTAAATAAAAGTCTTAAAGAGCCACATATATTAGATAACTTTTTAATAAAACACAACTTATTTTGTTATATATCTACTACAGGAAATCTAATGCCATGTGCTTTTAGGGTTATAGAATAAGGAAAAAGAAAACATTTCATAAGCAGGAAGAGTGGATTTTCTTTTGTACTATTTGGGGAAAATAATGTTAAAAAATAAGTAGAATTAAAAATGAACTTTCCAAACCAGTGACAACAAAAATAGATCAAAAACATATTATTCTTTTTTTAATGTCATTTTGTCATGAATATTTGTTTAAAATCCTCAACCTTCAAAGACGGGTATATGTTAAGCCTTGAGGTATCATATGTTGTACATTTATGCTGTAGAAAAAACATGAACTGAATTGAATTTGACATTTTGAAAAAAAAAATGTCATTTCAATTCCAATAGTTAATAAAAAAAATTGCGTTTAAATACAATTTATAATTCAGCCATCAAAGGAGCCGTTTATAAAGTAGGGTTGTGTCTTCGACTTAAGTAAAATTTGTGTTTTCAGTGTTAAGATCAAGTCCCTCTTAGGGCTCAACCTGCTGGCCTTGGAGCCTTAAATATCAGCTGTTTGGTTAACTTATGCTTTAGTCTAGCTTTAGATTCAGGGGAGAAAACATTCAATGAAAGGTTAACTCAATCTGTTTGGAAAAATAGAACTCAAAATGACCACTTCCCTTTGGCAAAACACACCTGCATCCTCCATGTGCCCTTCGGAAATCAGCATCACTTAACTGACTTAATTATAATTGTCCCCTCTACACTACAGTCAATGTCAGCTGTGTCTTTTAATTCTCTAATCAGTGGTCTGCAGGACCACTATCACTGTGCCCATGCAGCTCTCTACTCAATACAGACATCCCTGAACACACACAGGCTGTTTTTTTGTCAAATGTTTTATTGAGTGTAGACATCTGGCCTACTGTAAAACATGCATTATCTGCAGGAGGGAGAGCAGAGCAGGTGGTATTGTCTCCTCTGTCAGCCGTGTCACTGCTGGCATCTGTGATGGAGATTAATGAAGTAACAGGGGAGTGATATGCTCCTTAAAATGCTGCTGTGATCCTCAATCCCGATCTCAAACAGAAAGACTGTCAGAGTTAATAGAAGCATATTTTGCTCTGGATCCTTCACACTACCACCAGAAATTATTCACACCCCTTTGTTTTTTCTCCATTTTGTGTTACTTTTTCTAAAATACATCTGAGGATTTGCCATCACACATATTTATGAACAGAACTCTGTAATATCAAAAAAGCTTTTTAGTGGGATGTGAAAATTATTAATGTAACACATCCATGGCTCGATATAATTCATTATAGCATCTTTGGCGAGACATAAGTGTTCTTGGGTCGTTCCTTACGAGCTTGGAACACCTACTAAGAGTATCTACCAATCCCCTTAGTTAAATAACACTGCCCTAGCATGATGTTGCTATCACCATGCTTGACAAGAGAGACTGCAGTGAGTTCCAGCACAAAAGCTTCTAAATTATGAAGATTATTAGCCCTAAAAATATAGGATATGTTTTTGCAAAATTCAAGCCGGCCACCAATTGTGTTTTAGTGAGCAGCTTCTGGTGCTTCCCCTGCTGCCATAGAGATCTGACTCACAAATAGTGCTAGCAAAAGGCAACCTTCTGGATGGTTCTTTACTGAAAAGAATATACTAACTGACCATTGATCCTGATCAATCCGCACCATCATTTAAATCTACATAGGGTTCTGCAGACAAAAGTACTTTTCAGGATATTTGGTAGATATATTTTTGTATTCCTCTGCAGTTTTAAGTTCCATAATTTTAAATTTCCATAAGGGAAAAAACCTGTCAAGTTTCAGAAATATATAAGAAACAGTGAAAAATTAAAAAGGTGTGACTACATACATACTTAACAGGTTTTTCATTTTTCTTTCTCTTTATAGGCTAGTTATCTTGTAAAAAAAATAAATAAATAAATAAATAAATTAACAGTTTCAGAATAAACCCGTTACATTGTGAAATTTGGAAAAAATGAAGGGGTGTGAATACTCTGTGGCACTTTGTTCACATTTGTATATCCATTGCCAAAAATAATGAAAAAAATAAAGTCAGCTGTGTAAACAACAATATTCCTCCTAAGTCACTTTTTCTTTGGTGCGTTTGGTGCATTGAATTTGAAAAAGATGATGTCTCCATCCTCAACCGTGTAGTTTCTTCCTTGCTGTCGGTATTTCCCAGCTGCCTGTAAGAAACCAAAAAAAAGATTTAATGGAATAACAGAAAACAGAATCGGCATTGCTTTATGATTACAATATACTAATAACATTAACTATTTGGGTTAATACATTATAAATTGTAGTAATATGCTGCAATCGCAGGGGTGCTGTGCTTCTAGAAAGCTTTTAAAGCAATAGCCAACGTTCCCACTTTTAATCTTGGGAAAGGAAAAAATAAAAAATAAAATGAAAAATAATTGGCACACTAAGGGGAGAAAAACTGACAGATGCATGAAAGATTGAATAAATTGATATTGCAACTTATTCAAACGTTTTTTTCTCCAATAACTCAGCATAACATAACAAGTTTTTCTGGTCAGGGAGGGGGTACGGGGCAGTTGGTGGTGATCAGATTTATTGGGGTGGCCATTGCACCTGTTCATGCCCTTTGGTGGTGCCACTGTGACTTGCATACATGGAAGAGGCGAACACACACACTGAATCAAACACACAGAAATGCGTGAGTGTTCTTTTCTCTCTAGGGTGCCTGAATTCCCACTGAGTGAGTAATCCTCTCGTCTGTCCATTTGAGCTTCGTGTGCACAGACACAAAATGTTAATAAGTCTTTGATTACAGCAATGTGAAACTTCTCAAGGAAACTAAATAAGTTCTAGCATTTCTTTTGTATACTGTAAGTGTTTGTTCTCCGTCCTGGCAAACTAAAAATAATTGACTTGAAGTGCTAACACAGACAGGTTTAAATGCATTCTGGTTCTGCACGGTGCACAATTAATTAGAGGAATCAATGTCTCTTTAAAAGGCTCAGGAGACCATTTAATCCAAGCTCAATACCACCAGAAACACAGGATGGAGAGGCAGACAGAGAAAAAAATCAATGGCTATTTGTGATTCCTGAGTACGTATTAAACCCGACACATCTAACTGGTTCATTTGCACTTGAAAGCAGCCATCTGGAGCAGCAAGCTTGGCTTAAGCAGATATGATTACTAATAATGTGATATCCCCGTACTCTGGCCCTATTCATGCAGCCTATTCCCACAACTGGCATTAAATAGCACAGACTTTAATGCCACAGTCAGAGACGCTCCATGTTCTTCTGAGGCTCAAAAAGAGATTAAAGAGAGAGCAAGCATTGAGGACCTGACACTCAGATCTCAACCCTGGATAACAATGGTGAGACCCCCCCAGAGACCAACACGACTCACTCTCTGTCAGCAGCTTATGGGGGGTGGGAACAATGCACTGCCACTGCATTAAATAATAAAAAATGTTTTAAAAAGGGGCTTGAATATTAAAGAGGTTTAAATGTTTTTTTAGTGCTTCCTTCCTCACAGGTCTCCACGGGTCTTTTGTGCAACCATAATTACATTAGCTGAGTTTGTAAGTGGGCACATGGAGTCGATGCTGAGGATAAAAAGATCGCACCAGCATGGCTTACGGCTACTGATCACAAGGTTTACAAAAGTGAAGCAAGTCATGTTAGTTTTCGTTTAATGAAACACAAATTTAATGGCGCTTGTTTAATCACAACTCTTCCTTGTGGCACTGTTCAGGTTGCTGATTAAAAACTAATGGCAGAGCCCAACTTCGGAACCGTTCTGACTTTTTAAAAAACAAAACAGCAGATGCAATTCTTAAAAAAAGGCCATGAAATACAGTGTGCTACAAAATTATTACCAATTATATGACAATCACATTGCAACCATCACTATGTGTGATAGTCCAACAAATAGCCTAATTCTAAAAGTGGAAGAAAAGGAGAATTTCAATGTTTTCAACCATTGGAAATCTGTGAAAAAAGTGTCTTTAATACCCTTCTCTCTGAAACCTCTAAATAAAATCCAGGGCCACCAACTGCCTTCAAAAGTCTCAAATTAGTTATTAAAGTCTAGTAGAGCACAACAGCTTCATAAAGACAAGGAAACACATCAAACAGCGTGGGAATAAGTTGTGAACAACTTTAAAGCAGGGTTAGTTTATAAATTTGACAAGTTCACATAATATGGCATAGTTGCAAACTGAACAAAATGCCATTTACCCCAAATTGCAACAAACATAAGGGAGCTCTGGTCAGAGGAAATAAAAATTGTAACTTTGGCCAACATGCAAATTACTTTTTCACGCATCACCCTGGACATACCATCACCATGGTGACACATGGTGCTGGTAGCATGTTGCTGCGGGTATGTTTATGTCTGAGACTTAAAAATGTTCAGTTTCTTGGAATCAGAATCAAAGAGAGGCAAAATATCTGGGACACCTATTTATTTTAATGAGTGAAATAATGATCAGGTTATTCATCACAAGTGATGTGGAATAAATAATAGTATAGTTTTATTTCAAACAGGTCTATCAAATTTAATCTCAAAGAAGCATTATTTACTATATGTTATTGAATTTATCATGATGCTGCACAAGAAGAGCCAAAAGATCACCTAGAAAACATGTAACTAAGACATGCAAGTCAAATTTTTGTGCTACCCATGCATGAAGCAGTCCTTATTTGAGGAATTTTACACTTTATTTAACTTGCCACTTTATATCACTGTCACATGTCTACAGTGGGGACTTAGTGAGGTAGAGCTCTAAGCTCACGGTACTCCGTACAGATCTGATAGACGCCTGGCGCGCTGAAGAAGTGCTTACTCTGAGTGTCTATGCCGAGCCAAAAGCAAGAGCTACCATCAGCCAGTTAGAACACATTGTGATAAAGATATGCACAGCTGGAGCACAATGGCAGTGTTTAGAGCCACAATCAGCTGGCTTGTCACTGGTGGTGCCTGAATGTGTGCAGTAATTTCTTCCCCTGAGTAAAGGTGAAGAAGAGTTTTCAGTCGGAGCTGCGTGGCGACTGTCAGCTCCACTGATCACGGGAGACTTCCCCTCATCTCCTCCGGCACACTAACTGCTCACCTTGACAGCGCTCTCGCTGCCCTCTTCTTTAAAATCCTGGAATTTCATTACTTCTGCCATAATGAAGCCCCTCTCGAAGTCCGTGTGGATCTTCCCCGCAGCCTGTGGAGCCTTAGTTCCTTTCTGTCACAGAGGAAGGAGAAGAGAGGACAAATGAATTGTTTTGGAGAAGATGGATTACAGCATGCGAGGGACATGGTGTTTGATAGGGTGATAGCAGTGTAATGACTCCGGGGGTGTTTTTTAAGGGGTATTCTTGCCTCTGTCCAGATTTCTGGATAGCTTTCCACTCAGTCGGCTGTGGCCTGCTAGGGCAGCCTGGACACCGATAAGGACTTAGCGCTGCTATCAATGCCTTCTGATTCCCATTCCTCAGCTGTATCGATTTCTGTCCAAGCAATCTTGTCTCATTGTGGGTCGCTGCTCAGCTCTCTGGTCATGACAGCAACAAGAACCAGTGTTGCAGTCAGAGGCTAAGGTGGTATAGACCTCACTCTATCGAGTCAAACTATTGAAATACACCAGAGTTTCAAATTCATGTTTAGCCTTCAGAGATATTACACCCATGTTGCAGTCAAATGTGGCATTTCCAAATCTCCTGTTTGACCGCAGAAATCTTTAAACATACTGCTTTTGAATTACTAATTATATCAAAGTGAATGATTAGCTGGTCAAATCAGTGGAATCACTTATGGTCAGCGGTGAGCAAAGTGTATGTTCAGAAAAGGGCCAAAGTGGACCCATGATGCTACAGATAAAAATTAGCTGATTATTAAAGGGGTGCTTTTGAGGCCCATTTGGGTTGATCAATGACTTATTCATTCAAAAAATAAAAGTGACTCAGTTTCCACTAAACATCTATAGTAAATAAAGGATCCTGACTAAATTAACATCTCTATTGGATAATGTCTCCCACCTTATGCATTAAGCTGTTGTAGAACTGGAGAGCTCCTTCTGTGACAGACTGCTGCACCCTAAATGCACCAGGGAGCGTTATCACAGATCCTTCCTCCCAGCAGCTGGAAGACTCTAAAACCACCACTGTTCCCTACAACCTCAAGAAGTTGCTACATTCATGCTGATTTTGCAGTTTCTACATTAGTCAGTTAAATAACATGCTGCTGTCATTTTGCACATCTCTGATGTTGTTGCTATTTTCAAATATCCATTACTGTGAAAATGTCCATAGCTGTATATTGGTTATGTATTCTCCAGGGGCATAGTATTTATATTGTTAATACATTTTACAGTACAATATTTTATTGTTTATCTTTTAATTCCACATTTGTGTGACCATTGTTTTCTATAATTTTTTTGCTGCTGTAAACATGAGAATTACCCCATTGTGGGACAATAATCGGAATTTCTATTCTATTCTAAAGGTAATTATTTATGCTGTTTTCTATGTAGTAATTTTACAAGTGTTTACAGTTGGTTTTACTGAACCAATCCCATGTTACCATTGGTATGATACTGAACAGTGTTAATTGTATAATTTACGACTTTTCACTTAGTCTGCTTGTTACCGTCACTGACCTCTAGGGGCTCTCTTCATGAGAGAGCTCTCTCTTTGTGTTTCAGGTCAACCCGTCTGGCACAGGTGCAACGTGTTGGAGCTCGTCAGCCATCCCATAAAGAGCTTCATACCAGAGATCTCAGGCTCCTTCTTTTTCTGTTGATCAGAAGTGATCTTGTCTGTAAGTGGACTGTTTATGTGGACTTGACTAGTTTTGCTGTGAGCATATTGTGAATAATTGTCTTAACTAAAGTGTTTCTCTTCACAGTGGAAGCTGGTAGGGGTCTCTGCTTACAAGGTAAAATCGATTTTTTTTTTTAGGAATAAGCATATTATTTTGACAGTTGTTTTGACTACACAACTTTGGGAGATTAGGTGAAGTGAGCGAGAAACTTTAAGATGAAAAGTCAGAATCTAGTGGTAGTTTTATTCTCCACAAAATATTTTAAGCTAATTCTGTATGAGTTGAAAAGCTTTGTAAAAATTTGGCTCCCAGACACAAGTGCTGAATGATGAAACGTGCCATTTATATGCCATGAAATGATGCGCGGAAATGACAAATGAGCCAAATAAGTGACATGGCTGCCGTGCATCATCGTGAGTCCTGCCTGTCGAGTCGCTCCACAGCTCCGTGCTCAGGAGCTGTTGAGTGGTTTTAATTATGTATATAATCAGGTTGGGGTCAACATATTTCATGCCACAAGAATGATGCGTATTTAATGACTCTAATACATTACCATCTATTTGCAATCTTACTGACGAAGTACTTGTGTGTTTAACTACCATTAATCAGCATCAAGGTTTTTTTTTTTTATCCGAGGCTTTACAGGAGAGCCACATTGTCCTAGTTAAGAGCTATGCAGAGTAGGCTGATAGATAATGGTCACCTCGAGGCTGCCTAATAAAGCATGTTAAAGAACTTAGGAACATGACATTACTGAGTGTAGTTTTTACAATACAAGATGTATTGGCTTAATATAGTTACTCACTGATGCTTACCTGACTGAATGCCCCTCACACACAAATCAAGGTTGGCTGTAATTACTTACACCGAGCAAACATACGCCTGTTTTTTAAGGATACCTTTGAAGCATTCGGGGGCTTTTATTGTAAATAGCAAGGACATCAGTCATCATGAGATAAATCCGGTGATGTCATCTGACTGAGCCATAAGCAGTGCTGAGTAAAAAAACAGGAAGTGAGCTCACCTTTACCTCAGGCCTGTGCACAGTTTAAGAGTCTTCACTAAATTACACATAAGAGGGAAGCATCTGTACAACTAGGGGCGTGGATTGGGGGGTGGGGGGTGGGGTGGGGTGTTTGTACAAATTTCAAAATGTTATGGTGCAGAAATATCCTGAAGCAACATCTAAAAAATACTTTTTTTTTTCAAACTTTGTATTTGATTTTCATTTCACTTCTATTTTACATCTAAAACCTTAAAAATAAATCTTACAGGTTTTGTTTTGTATAATTGCAACTAAAATCATAATGCTCTTATGGCCCTTAGCTTGGATCTGCTTTGCTGATATCTGATGAAGCACTTTACGTTTGCAACAACAAAAACAACTTCCAAAAATAACTGTAGAACACAACATTGGCATATACTCTGTCATATGCATTCATTTCTCACATTTTTATGTAATCCAAAAGTTGGTATTATTGGGACTGAAGGTGTAAAGATAACCTCTAATTGACATTATTACATAAAACAGTGGGAATGACTTCAGAAGTCATCAAATGATTGAATGTAGCTTGTGGGCTATATAGTCTCAGCAAATGTCTGATCTGTTCTGTTCATTGAAGGGCCAAGAGGTCTGTTAGAACTCTAGTGAACAAACAGCCTTGCACATGTCATATTAAGCTGTGTTTACAGACATTAAAGGAACACAGCAAGCATGAAAGAAGGTGCTCAGTTTGGCGAACATTAAAACTGCAACTCACCCTGAACCTACTGTAATTATGGTAAAGTGGTGGCAGCTTTATGCTGTGGGATTTCTTTTCTTAAGCAGGGACATTGAAGCTTGTCTAGCTGCTGGTTACAGGGGAATCCTGAAGAACACCTGCTAAATGTAGAGGAGGCAAAACACTTTAAATTTGGATGGATGTTCACCTCCAAGCAGGAAAAGAACCCTAAAAGTGGATGCTCAATGATATTTATCCAGCCTGACTGAGCTTAAGCATTTTATAACTAGTCAGTTAAAAGTAAAAGGTTGTTTCTGTGGGGATGAATATAAAGGTGCAAAACACTCTTTCAGATTTGCATGACAGCACAAATGTATGAAACAACCTAATTTCTTTTATATCTTTGTTCAAAATGTGAACTAACAAGGTACACTTTGCTTAGGTTTACACTTAAAAAAGGAATTTGAAATATCCGAAAGTTAAAAATAATAAAAATACAGCAAACCCATGAGGAGATTTAAAAAATGTCAGCACAAAAAACAAAACAAAAAAATCTTATCTCCTAGGTTACGATCTGTGCAACATAAGAGTTTCTTTTAAATGAAAGTCTGTTATATGTATCCATTCTGAGATTAATTCAATCTGCTTTAAATATATTTGAATTTTAAAAACAAAATTATAAAATACTAATTTTTTTAAAAATATTTTTATGCTGGCTTTTAAAATCTAAAATGTGATTCTCTTAAAGGAAAAAAAGCAGAGAAAACACACAATGCCAACATGCAAATCCAACATCTGTATTGATGTACATCCTGTGATCCCATTACGCAGAGCTCTTGGCGGGCAGGACTCTGTAAACTGAGACACACACGGAGGAGGAGCCCCCAGCAAGGCCCGCAAACAGTCGGATGAAAAGCGACATCAATTTTGGCACAGACACCCTCCGTCACACAGATTAGGCAGGCACAATGCAAGGCCTCCTTATCTCCAGCGGCAGGAGGAGGGCAGGCAGATCTGCACAGGATGGAAACATTCTCATGGACGTAATGGGCAAAATCAATTGTTGTCCTCCTCAATCAATGTGGGCCCCCACTTTCACCGTTCACCAGCTCACCAGTAATTGAAGTTATCCTCGGCCTGTAATGACTAGCTAAAGCACGACCATGACAAAGTTGGAAGTGTGTGATATCAGTGAGGGTGCCAGCAGGGTGGAACGCGGGATGCTGTGTGCGTGTTCACACCGCGGCGCTTACCCGGATGGTCCAGGCGCGAACCTCATCTGGGCCAGCGGTGAAGAAGTACTCAAGCTGCAGGGCTGCGTAGCCAGCCTTGATGATCTTGCTTAGGGCACTGATGGAGAGAAATTTAAGCCTGAATCAAAGGCTCTGAATTGTTTCATTATACTTCACTGACGCTGATGTCTAGGCAAAGTTAGCTCCAGTGGCAAAGCAACGTTTAATACAAACTCATTAAAGATGGGTCACTTCATTTCACATGAGACATTCAACTCTCCAATGGTTTGCATGATTAATTAGAATGCTTGTAGTCCCATTTAACATTTTTAAGAATTCAACTCGACACCTCGGTGTTAGCTGAGAAAAAGAGAAGGGAAAAAAATGTCTCCGCTGTCACAATTTTTCTCTCCATAGAGGTTTTCAGATGAGAACAATAAACCCAAAATGCACCAAGTTATAATTATACCTACAGATGACAGATGACAGTTAAAAACTTAATTTGGAGGAAAACCCTTTGACTGAGTTGTTCAGGAAGAAGAGGGATCCTTTGCTTTATAATGGTAATTACTCTGCCATTTATTATTCTATCAGCACATGCAATTAAAGGAGTGCATGGAGGACACAGCTGATAATAAAGTGTAGGGAGACTGAATGCTAATTAACCTCTGCGTCTTGTGCTCTTTGCAGTATTTCTGTCTCTCTTCTTCGTTAATGTCCTGTAGTCGACTCTCCAGGTTGCCGCTGAAGGGGATGACCAAGGCTCCGGGGTCGTGACTGTCCACCCACTCCTTGATTTTCACCAGCCTGATGGAGAAACATCAGCCACAATGAGAGGGGATTATTTTTTATGGGCTCAGAAATGCACATTGGAGAAAGGAGCAGAGAATAGGAATATATATTTTTAGGAGGCCATCTTTCAGAGAGATTAGAAATATTTTTTTTTTAATGAAGATACTGGAGGAAAGAAAGTGAAAACATGATCTCTTTTTATTTAGATGTGCACGTTAAAAGACACCTAAATATGTTGAGAGTACAAGGATTAAACATACAGTATTATAAGTATTAGCTTTCATTGTGTAGAAAAATATTTTTTTTTGCATTTGTAGATATGTAATAATACATATTAGCTTAATTACCCTATCATCATCATCATCATCATCACTTAATCATTGTTAGTAATTGATCATTTTTTCTAATTTAATCATGAGCCCACTGCTTAGGTTAGGTGTAAGTAAAAAAATTAATTTCAATACATGTGATTCTTATGAAAAATGGATCCATGTAACGAACTTAAATCTGCTTAATATGGCATGACATATATTGATTATATATATTGATATAATCTATTGATTCTGAGGATATTTTCTCCACTTGTAAGTTGCACGGAAAAGCTAAGAGTTTATTATAAAGATCCTTTCATTTGTTGATACATATAAAAACATTTATGAAGGGGCGTAAAAATATATGATTTTGATTAAATAAATAAAACGTACAATGGAAAAAAAATCCAACCTTAAATTTAAGAATATTATTCATTATATTTTTTTTTTCAAATACTCTGTTATTCAGTTCGAAGTACGTTGCCTGCCGCAGCTCTGCTGGACAAATGACTACCTGCTAAACTAGGGCTCTACAATAAATTTTTGCAATGAGGCATATTTGCAATCTGGCTATGCACAAATCTTTGCTGGAAATAAGGGTACATCACACGATGTTAGAATAAAAAGAGAATTTATATATTTTTTTTTCAACTTTTTATTACAGCGTACAGAAACATCTGCCTTTTACAAATTACTGATTAGAGAAATAGAACAATAATTTGATACATTTGTTAGTAAAACTTCCTTAGAAATAAGCCATAAGCATTAACAAAAACAACTGAGTAAAATGGTTAAAAAATAAAATATAATTGTTTAATAAATGTCTCTCAGATATTGATTTAATTCTCTAAGTTGAACTGCTGAATCATGTTTGATTAAAAAAAAAAAGAATAGCAATATTGATGTATTATAAATAAAAAAGATGAAATTTATAACTATCAATGATAACATAAACCTTTAGGCACCAGTTGTAACAGAAACATGAGCTTTCCAAAGGTTCCAAGGTCCTCAGTGAATGTGCAATAATTGGCACTGGGGGACTGCATGGGCTACCTTGACTGCGTACATAATACGAAGGTTTTGTTGCATATTGGCAACAATGGGCAGGAAGAGATTAAGTAAGAAGAAACTCTGGATTAGTATAGCTGTTGTGTGACGTCTAGATAACATAAGTTACATTGCAAACCTGTACTATGCTTTCACACTTCTTATTGCACATTTTCCCCTAAAATAATGGTGCATTGAGCTACACAGAGTCCAATACGGCTTAGTAAACATGTCTCTTCAGTGTCTGAATACAGACCTATCACCTTGTACTCTCATGGGCATAAGTACAACAATTATAGAAATCCCAAACTGCAAAAAAAAAAAAAAAAACTTTCTGTTTGAGTATCAAGTCAGTCTTGGGCCCAATTGTTAAACTGAGCATATTAAAAATTGAACCTTTCAAAGAGACCATCTATGTCCTGTAGACACAAGAGGCTTAATTTGAACTTGTTTGCCATTACGTGACCTTCAGATAATTTTTGGATGGAACATTTTTTTTTCCTCTTCAAATCAGACCCCCAGACTTTAAAATGAAGTTCTAAATCTGATACACATATCTGCTGTGTTCCTATCCGACCAAAACCGGAGCATTCATGTTGCATTAGATTTTTCTATCTCTGCTGAAATATGTCACATGTCACAGTTTTGCTTTAGAAGTAGAAAGATGTTGCCCAATCAAATCAAATACAAAATATAGAAGAAACAAGCAGGCAACATACAGTAGAGAGAGGTTGACAGAATGTATCTGATACACACTGAGTTAAAACCACGTCTACATCCGTTAAAGTGTGCCGCGTATGGCATCAAATCCTCTGTTTACGCAGCTCACAGCTCAGGACTGTATGCTACTGCTTGTTTTACAATTAAATTATTCTGTCTATAACAGTGCAAACAAAACTCTAGTCACATCTCATGTTCTACTGTGAGTGGACAAGGCAGTTTGAAATTGAATAAATAAACTGAATGTAAGCAGATCTTGATGAATCTGAGGCAACATGAAAACAACTTCTGGTTTAAACCTGCTTTAGAATACAGTCAGAGCCTAAACAGCTTAAACTGTGACTAACAAGGCTTGGCAAGAAACCAAGTTACTCTTGCCAGAAGGCATAAAGAGGAGGATGGGATAGGAGGTGAATAAATATGGCAGGTATCAATAAGGGGTGTGATTTTATAGCTGAGAGTGATAAATATCTATTAAAAAATCCATTGTAACTAAATATCCTACTGAAATTCAGCTAAAAGGGACAATATTTCAATAGATAACAATGAAGCCAAACAGATTACTACAGAGGAAATTGAATTTACCTGCAGGGTGTTAAATAAACATTAACCCAGAGCCTGGAGGGAAAAGAACATATAAGCACTTAGATTTCCTTACTTTTAAAGGTCTTTGTCACTTCATTTTTTTGTCTCCCTGTTCCAGCAGGACACCTGACATTGCAGGACAAAGATTTCCTCACATTTAATGGCAACCCTCAGTCAGAACAATACAAGGGGGTAAGGGCAATTATGAGATTAGCCCCGCAAGCTTCGAGGCTGGGATTGGATGGATCGCAAAGAGCAGCATCGCACAAATCCATTTTCACACGTTGGCTCCCAGATTGATTCTAAGGGGGTCCCTGTCATTATGGGTAATCCTGGTTTCCTGTTTAAAGGCCCCATAAGGAATCAAAGACTGGGGCCTCAATATCAGATCTGTTCTCATAACAATGTCTTCGGAAATATCGCCTGCAGCACCAGATCACTACTTCTAACTGATGATGATCAATATACAACACATAACACACATGGGAGAACGCAGTTTGCTTTGACTGAATGCTGTTTAAGTGTCAGTTCGTTTCTCAGTTTACATGCACAGCTATTAAAAGCAATAACCCAATATTTCCCTTTTCTTTCTGCATTTTAAATAAAGGTGGCAACCAAAGTCTCGGAGGATAGCAAGAAAAAAGCCAAAAAGCCTAAAAACACAGGAGATGGAGGGCTGCACCTTGAGGGGGGAAAAATCCAATCTGAGATAATAACAGCTGTAGTTTGTCACTTTTAGCTGCACAGCTGTCTATTTGGTGGCACGTTATTTGCATTCCTCAGGTATTGCTTTCTCTACAGGCAGTTTGAATAACGATTCACAAATCACTCTCTCCACACCAGTCAAGGGCTGTGATCCTTTGAATAGACCATTGTACCTGGGACTGTAATTGGTGAAGACTTTGACAGAGCTGAGCCGAGTCGGCCGGGGAACAAAGAGCCTATTGGTGGAGGGCTGAGGGATGATTTTAATAATGTGAAGCCGAGACAGAGAATGTGAGCCGCAAATGAGCACCGGGGGTCTCTGGGTCCTTACACTGAGTGACATAGGAGCAGACAAACACCTTGCCATGAGGGAACATGAAACACCCCCTTGCCTCAACTCCAGAAACAAAGCGCTGTCAATTAAGAGCTTTGATGCACGGTCAACACTGCACCAGAAAGCACTTCTGTCAGCATCGCCACGACATCCTGGTCTTACTTTACTATGTGTATTTATGCGGCTTCCAATTATTTATGTGTATGTTCAAAATTGATGAAATATTTATGTAAACCCTGCTTTCGTTTCCATTTTATGTGTTTTTGTGGAGATTTCCAAACTACTTTCTTCTCTTTTAGTTAGAATGTATAAACCCAACAACAAAAGCTATGAATAACCAATTCCTTTAGTTAGATTCACTTTTGAAAGCTTTTACAACTCTGAAGAAGGACTGTTTGAGAGTAAGTGTCTCTTGTCAGTCTCCCATTATGTTCCAATGCTGAGTGCCATCTCTCACTGCTCTGCTAATAGACAGATTCAGCACTTTCTGGTCCTGATATCCCCCTCTGAACAAATGATGCCTGAAATTTTTATTCTCTTTATAATGGAACTTCAATGGCCTTGGCTGCAAATCAAGTGGAAATTTTTGCATATCAAGTGGGAAAAATTAAATGTTAACCACGTTTTAATGTGATTAAGGGTGACAGGGACATTATTTCTGCTAATCATTCAGCGACATGAAGTCTTCAAACAAGGCAAAGGCGCACGCCATGTTTGCCTCTTTTTCCTTTGGATTACAGAGAGAATACTAGCTTTGCTGCCCACATTTAACTCAAACTTTTCTGAAATATTCCCCATGCATGCATTTTTTTTTTTTCAAACAAGGGAAACAGGTCCATATGAAAGCCTTGTTTTAATCTGGAAGTACCTTGTAAAAACACTCATACACCCTCAACTTTTCCACACAAAAATTTGGTGAGGGCCCAAAACACAATACCACATCATTATAATACAGTTCAGCTAAGTTATAACTTTATTGATTCTAAGTATAAATCCAGCTGTTCTGCAAAGAACTCAGAGGTTTGCTAAAAAACATAAGTGAACAAAGGGCATCATGAAGACCAAAGAAGAACCAAGTAGCATTCTTGACTATGGCAACTCCAGAGGAGCTGCAAAGACTCACAACTCAGGCTGGAGAGCAACTGCAGGGTGCAAACGGTTGAAAATTAGGAAATTTACACTTTTAGGTTTCAGAAGCAGTATTGCTTTTGCTCTGTGATGTACAAGAAGACAAAAAGACAAAGAAGAAAATCAGTTTAACTGGTCCCTGTGGCTACTTTTCTGTTAAAATGTAGATGTGCACCTATATTTCT